CTCAGTCATAATATTGTAGAAAACTCTTTGCATATAAAGGGAAAGTGGTACTTAAACAGTTGTCCAGAAACAGCAATCTCAGACAATAAAAAAGTTAATCCAGCTAATTTGAGAAGACATTTTAAGTAGCTGGCTAACAGCAGTTAGTAAGGAGTACTGCCTACTACTCCTATAGCAATATGATGTACAGATCTGCACATACACACACACACACACACACACACACACATGAACCTGAATAAAGCAGTTAATAGTCACTCTACCTGTAAGGAATGTGTTGGTGAGTAGAAGTATCTCGGTACTTCTTAGCCAGACCAAAGTCAATTATGTAGACCTGTTTTTTTAGTAAAAATAGATGTAATGTATAAAAAAGTCTAAGCACACACACACATATACAAACCCCTGCACAAAAATACTTGAAATAGTAGGTAACCACAGAATAACAATCGGAATACCTGATTTGCACGTCTTCCCAAGCCCATAAGAAAATTGTCTGGTTTGATATCTCGATGCAAAAAGGATTTAGTGTGTACAAATTCAACACGATTTATCTGTGGTAAAGAAAAGAACATCATATCAAAGAGTTTGAAGTTTAATTAAGTCTGCAAAACATAAGATAAACTAAGAAATAAGATTAACCATTTGATCTGCGAGCATTAGAACTGTCTTCAAAGAAAGTTTCCTACTGCAGAAGTTAAAAAGATCTTCAAGACTCGGTCCAAGTAAATCCATGACCAGAACATTGAAGTCTCCTTCCACACCAAACCATCTCACATTTGGTACACCAGCTACAACATTAGAACAATCACATCAGAACTCCAATTTTATCAACTAACTTAAAATGACTTAAAAGAAAACAAACTACTGATTTCATTACTTCCTCCTTGTAGAATTCTGTATAATTTTGACTCGTACAGCAATTGAGGATGTTTTGTCTTGACATTTTCCTACAATATAAAAAAATAATATCAATTTTGCAGTGTGGTTACAGAAGGTACAGCTACTATGAGGTATAAAAAAAGGTATTGGGTCAAGCAATCAACAAAGCTTTCATTTTTCTGACATTCAGAGAACAGGATTATTTCCAATTTTGGCAAGTGTTGATAATGGGACAATTTGAGAACAATGATCTGCTCAGGGGAACACACATCACACATCAGTATCAAGTAATGACCGAATACATCCACAGACTGGAAAGGTTTTCAATATGTGTTGAGATACATCAAATTGAAAGTAATCCAATTTCATAAACAGTACATATAGTAGGGCAATTTTTATGCAACTGTAACAGCTCAGCGAAAGAGTGAAACAGATATAAGCTGAAAATTGACATTACACTACTGTAATACATGCAATTTCATAACAAGTCTCAAACTCTCCCCTTTCCATTAAGGGCGGGCCACAAGGGAACAGCTTCTCAAATGTAATTATCCAAAGTGTAGCAGCAGAGAATGTGATCTTTCTGAATTAAAGTGTGTGAAAAGTTAGAAGGTTGACATATTAACTTGGTATCACTTCCAGTAAACTTGTATTCCAATACCAGCTTAAATGCTTCAATCAAGAACTTAGAACGCAGATTAAAGCACGAAACACAACTATACTTCAGTAAAACCCACCTCTTTTAAGTAATCAAAAGCCTGAAATCAAGTATATACTGTTACAAACATTTTTCAGATTCAGCACTAGTACAACTAGCTCTGTTATAGAAAACTTCCAAGTCAACCCCTCACCAAGCTTCATTTCCAGTTCACTAGATCAACAACAATAAATTACTTGACTAAGCTTCTAAGGAAATCAACTCACAAGCTTAATTGCCAGTTCCTCATTAGTTTGTATATTAGTACCTGCATCAATGAACCCAAAAAACAACAATTAATGACTTCATCAACTCATTTTACCAAACACACCGAAAATATACACCCAACATTAAATTAAGAGCAGCAAATTATTCAAGAATGCAGAAATACAAACCGAGGTAGATCTCTCCAAACGATCCGCTGCCGATTTTGCGTCCGAGTCGATACTTGTTACCAACACGAGGCTCCATTCACTGAAGAAGACTAAGCTATGTACAGTAGAAGTACCAAAAAAAAAAAAAAAAAAAAAAAAACCCAAAAAATGAATGTTTTCTACAAGGAGATCTAGAATAGAGTGAAATTGTGTGTGTTTTTTTTGTTCTCCTCGCCCTGTCTGTCTACAATCTATCTATCTATCTGCACAAAGGTAGGGTTAGGTTGAAGCAGGTGGGAAGAAGAGAGAGAAAATGAATTGCGTAAAACTTTCTCTCTCTATATTTATAGCGTCTCTACATATTATGCTTTCCTGTTCCCTCTCTGTGTATATTTAACGACCTCGTCGCCACGTTTCGGTCCAAGGAAGCTGAAAACCAGAGGGGGACTGTGTAGTCCGTGTATGGGGGCTTGACTTCACGCGTATACCCCGCGCGTGACGCTTGCTTCTCCTGCGGCACCCGGTTCCCTCCACGTGACCTTCATGGACCGCTGCCGGAGGAAATTCACACCACGTGCACCATTTTCGCATTTCACCAATTCTCTTTTCTTTTTCTTATTTTCTTATGAATTAAGAATAGTGTTAATAGAGTATTCAAAAAAAAGAATAGTGTTGTCACGTTTTCAAAAAAGAATAGTGTTGTCACTTGTGATCGATCTAATCTTTATTAAATTTAAACCCAATATATTTAGCATGGAATACTATCAATTTAAATATCTGACTAACTTAATCATAACAATCACAATAATTATTTGGATGTGTCTGATTTTTTTTTCTAAGAACATCTCCATTAGTTTGATTTTTACACAGATTTTTAAGTGTCAATTAGAATAGAAGAGTGAAAGAAAAAATAAAGAAAAATAAAATAATAATTAATTAGCGATCACTCTCAACGTACCCAGTAGACACGTGTAGTACGCACGCCTTCTGGATGGTGTGCGTTATATATATATATATATATATATATATATATACACACACACACACACACACATTTTGCATGCTGCCCACAATAGGAGACAAAAATCGATCTTTCCTACAACTCTTTTTTTTTTCTCTTTCATATGCATCTCTCTTCCAGATAAGTTTAAGCTTCCTCAAAAACTTCTTAAAATTTACTATTATAAATGTCCTAATAAAAAGAAAGAAGGGGAAAAGGGGACAAAATGGACAAAAAAAAAGAAAAAAAGAGAAGTGTCAAATAGGCCCATATACTATTTTGAAGTGTTCAATTCACCCCACCATCTAAAATATATGCTAATCAGGCACACTTACCTTCCAAATTTGTTCGATTAGAATTTTTTGCAGGTTACCATTCGGTTGCCAATCCAACTAGTTGACGTGGAAAATATATTTAATGACATGGAAAAAAAAATAAAAATAATATGCTAAACAGGGAATCAAAGTGTTGACCCAGCAGCACTGCGCTGAGATCCGACATCATCACCATGAACGTCAAGGCTATCTAGCCGAGCAAAAGTGGTCTCACTGGCTGGAGTCGCCATGGCAGCCTCACTTCGGCTTTACGGCGACCCAACACTGCCTCTGGTGGACACAGATTGAGCCGAAAACATGGTGCCCCATGACCTGGTGACACCGTTGTTGCTTCCAATCGACGGGTTTTTCTCCCCATCTTCCCGGTTATTCACCATCCCCGCAAAAAATTCATCAAAAAGCCTTCTCAATTTTCAGTGCCTCACTGTCTCCCAGCTTGAATTAAGCCATAAACTCACAACACCAATGCAAAAATCCCAGCTAAAATCAACAGATTTCTCGAATTTTGAGACACTCCCAGATTATTTATATAAAAAAAAACAGAAATATTCCCATATTTCAACGAAAATTGGGGAGATGTCAATTAAAAGAGTAGGGGTTGTGGAAATACGCAGGATTTACTGGCACGGAAAATTCCTTCACCAGCAGTGTTCGCGTCGAAATCGAGCTCTGCGGCGGCAGACATGGAGCTGACAGCGCGGGTTGAGCCGTTGAGGGTACGCCAGAACTTCGCCGTACTGCGGCGACGACGGATGGTAAGGGTAGTAGAATTGCACCGAAGCTAAAGGGTAAGTGTACGGATTCCTCGGGAAGAATTCTTGAGCTCTGGGATTTTGCCAATCGTTTTTCATTCCTAATTCAGATTTTGCTCTGGGAAGAATTCTTGAGCTCAGGTTAGGGAAAAAGGAAGTGTTTAATTCGTAATTCAGATTTTGCCACTAGTTTTATTTTTTTTATTTTTTTGTTTTTATGCCACGTAAACAATGCCACCTAAGCATAACCGGGCCATGTTATCGCAAACGGGTGAGTAACCTGCAAAAAAATTTAATCGAACAAATTTGGAAGGTAAGTGTGGCTGATTAGCATATATTTTAGATGGTGGGGTGAATTGAACACTTCAAAATAGTAGATGGACCTATTTGACACTTCTCCCAAAAAAAAAAAATCTTATTAAAAGAACCCAGTTGGGCGTTGTTGGTGAGCATAACTCATGTTGACAAATCAACTCATTTTCTATAACTTAATTTTTTTTCTTCTTTTCTCTTCCCTCCACCCGAAAGAAATAAACCAATACCAAAATTCTTATTAAAGTTGCTTTTACCATTATTGCTATGTTATTAGAGAACGTAAATCATAAAATATATAAATAATAAACGTACAATCTAATTATCAGTAGAGATATAATCCAACTTTCAAATATCAATTTAGTAAATTTCAACATCACCCATAAAAAGAGATTAATTATGTATTAGCTTAGTGTTTGACTCATTAAAAAATAATCAAATTGAAAAGAATATTAGAATACCTTTGACATCATCCTCTCAATAAATTAATGAAGACTGGCCTTTCTATCCCTAGGTTTTCTGGAAATAATTGACTTTTTCTTGATACAATTGCAGCCACAATTGAATATTTAACACATCAGTCAATCTTATTGAAACTTGAATGAAGACAAAATATTTTTGTTTGCCCTATAATAAGTTTTCTTCTGTCTCTTGAACAACTGGAATATACTGTGGATTTATTTAGAGAAAATACAATTCTGCCTTACTATAAGCCTATATTACAAACCTTACAAGTCATTACAGCAGCCAAATAAACATGGAAACCTGTATTCAAATTAGAGAGTCATTAAGAGTTACCCTATTTACAGGGTGATTTATACTTCAGATTGCTGATGCAAAGCTCAGTAATTTCTGACCTTCTAAGAATGTGATCCACATTGCCAAAAGTCCAAAACCATGTCCTATGCCATTAGCACAATTTCACCATTTTCGCCTGCCGGGGTGAAGAAAAGGAAGAAAGCCAAGTGTCAGAGAAGAGAAGAGCGTCGTTATGACTATATATGCAACAGGGAAATAATAGAAGCCATGAGTGCAATCCGTTTTCCTAAAACATTACATTTTTCAAAGATCTCCTTTGCCAATTGAAGCAGCACGATACTGTCTTCAGCCATTTGCGAGACCCTCTCGGCCTCTTTGACTGCTTCGGCTGCCACGAATGATTTGTTTTCTGCTTCTGCAATCCTATAGGCAGCTGACACGGCTGCTTCTTCTACCGTGTTGCCAAGATAGCAAGTTTTTTGGTTTTGGTTTTGTTTGTGTCTTGACCAACTTTCCTTTTGCTTAGGGGATCCAAGCAATTCTTTCTTGATCCTAAAGCAGTTCTGAATCTGTATCCAGACCAAATTTAGCAAAATTCATGCCAAATTGACTATAAAGTCACAAGCAAACTTGTACATACCGATTACAATGTGATGAAGAAATCACTTCTCTTTTTTTGTGAAAAAAGTATTATGGAGTAACTAGCTTGGTTGGCGTGAGTGGCCGTACACTCTCATCCCTTAAGAGAAGTCGGAAGTTCAGAACCCCCTCTCGTATGGAAAACCCAATATGGCCAACACTTTGCCCGCAAATTATGCTGTGCAACCGAATACACCTTGCAGGGTGCATACGGTTGCAAAACGGCGCCGTTTTGATTAAAAAAAAACGCGCGTCTCACTTAAAAAAGAAATCAGGTTCGATTCCTGACAATAACATTTTTATATATCCAGAAATTCATAACTATATAACCACAATTTCATAACTATATATCCACAATTTCATAACTATATATCCACAGTGAATGAATGAAGTAAAAATCCACAATGAATGAATGAATGAATGAAGTAAAAATCCACAATGAATGAACTAAATATCCACAATATATGATTGAACTAAATATCCACAATGAATGAACTATATAACCACAATTTCATAACTATATAACTACAATTTCATAACTATATATCCACAATTTCATAACTGTATATCCACAGTGAATGAATGAAGTAAAAATCCACAATGAATGAATGAATGAAGTAAAAATCCACAATGAATGAACTAAATATCCACAATATATGATTGAACTAAATATCCACAATGAATGAACTATATAACCACAATTTCATAACTATATAACCACAATTTCATAACTATATATCCACAATAATGCTATTGCTGAGAATCGAACCTGATTTTTTTTAAAAAAAAAGTAAGACGCGCGTTTTTAGTCAAAACGACGTCGTTTTGAACTGTATGCACCATGCGCATGGTACATTCGGTTGCACAGCATAACTATCCCACTTTGCCCCTTAATTGGGCTGGCCATATGCAAATGAGATTAGTCTGAGTATGATACGGACTTAAAGGTGACTCTATAGTTAGGGTCTACTCAGGACACTTCGTGGTCTAACCAAAAAGCATTATGGAGTACCATAATAGGTAATAAATTACTGAACTCCATCAATTATAGAACTAAGTACCTTTTCAAGCTTTTCTTGCAGAACGAGCTTCCTCAGCCTAGAACTCAGTAACTTTCTGAAATTTTGGGGAACCTCGTGCCTTTGCTGGATATAACATAAATAAGACTACCCTCTCAGCTCATGAGCTACTATAAGTCAAGATAAGATCAAATCGAATTTACGATATTTAAGGGCTGGCATTCCTGTTATTCCCCATTCTTCTTTTAATCAGCGTAAATAAAGAGCAAAAAGATTGCAAATAATTTTATTTTTTCTTTACATGGTTTAAGCACTTTATACATTAATATCCATAGTACATATTATTCTATCAGCCTGTTAGGAAACATAATAAAGAGCTTTTTACTCAAGGATAAATTAAGAGTAATTAGCAAATAAAGAAAATGAGAAATAATATCAAATATCTGTATACCTCAATAAATCGTACAATTGTACTTGTGTCTGGTCCATCTGGATCTTTCAAAGTTGAAAGTGCTTCGTAAATCATTGCATTGTACCTGAAACCATAATAGTACACTTTATCAATAATCCATACAAGAAACTATCTTTTTTCACAGTTGCAGTAGTAGCTCTTTGTTGAAAACCACGTTCTTTATCTACTCTGTACAGAAAGCTCTTCAACTATACTTATAACCCACAACTTCAGCTTGAATGGAATGAGTTTTCACCCCGATATGCATAGTGACTAGAAATGTTTTTCTTAATCCATCGGTCTTTATTGACAGAATATAATTATCTTCTTCAACTTTCAGACACTTAGTTTACTAGAAATCAAAGTCATGGTCCGGAAAAGAAAACAAATGTCGATTCTACATACAAAAATGCCTACATATGCATTGCAATGGAATAGAAAAAACGAACCTACTTTGAAGCAGTTTTTCCATCCAATAAACATTTTGAGTTATCCTCAACAATAGCATCTGCTGCTACATCATCTGAAGCTGGAATGGAAGAAGCAGGAGTTTGTGCATTAAGAACTGGAGTGACTGAAGAATCAGGATTGGCCTTCACTTTTGGTGTTCTTGATTTATCCCTTGGGTTTGGCCCATTGGCACTAACATTAAGATTCCTCCATTTATCCTATATATAAACAAAGTATGGTAAACTTCCGATCTTAAGTTCTTTTAGCAATTGATGAATGTAGCAACATAACCCCAATTCAATAGAAAGTGAACAACCATCTCAACTAAAGTTGTAAATGTAAAATGCAATAGAGTCTCAATTTATTAACTTAAGGTGGAGTTGGTATATGCACCTACTCTGAATGTCGTTTTAAACCATGATTCACAATGTAAGGTGGACTTGGTCCATGGTATAACAATATAATTGTCTCAGGTAGACACCCAATCTAGAACCACAAGAAAAAGTGATTCCAATATGGTCCAAAGTCATTCATAAGTTGATAAAGCACACAACTTTAAACTCAAACTCAAACTCCCTTCAATTATCTTCCGGGTAATCGCAATCAATTGATTCAATTCTGTGTTACCCATAACTGAATTGAAACTAGCAAAGGGAGCAAAATAAAGCAATGAAGTTTGTTGAAGATAGAAGTAACCTTGAGATCAATGTTGGAACGAGAATGGAGGAGATGATTGAATTCAGGGTCTCTCTGAATGTTCTTCCACTTGCCAGCACCGTGCTTGGCCACGCCAGCTCGGAGAGCTTCTTCTTCATCGGATGTCCATTTCTGTTTTGGGTTTCCCATTTCTTTCCTTTCCTAATTCCTAATTCCTATCCTAAAAGCCGCAGCCGCTTAAAGCCTTAAACCCTCCCGCTACCAGCTGCCTTACTATTTATACTGAGCTGCAGAAACAGTCTTGATTGAGTAAAATCCGGGGTAAATCTCTGCTAAATTCTATTCCCAGATTTATCTGGATTTGGAATGAAAGTACCTAATAATATAAATTTATGAATTAATTCAATTGGTCAAGAAATTATGTAATTTATGGCTTCTTTTTTTTTTTGAAAACAATTTATGGTCCATTTTTAGAAACCCAAAAAAATATTTTTAGTATTTTTTGAATATTTAAGAAAAATAAAGTTAAAAGAAAATATTCATTTTAATTAAGAAAACATGTTCAATTCGAAATAAAATGTCTTTTTAAATTTTTAGCCGAATATATTCTCGAAATTCTTTATTTTTCAATATTTATATTCTCTCTCATCTATTTACAAACTAGTTTTCAGATTATTATTGTTACAACCACAATCATCATCATCACCACCCCACCATTACCATAACCACCAGCACCACCACTTATTAATGAGTATTATTATTGTTGTTGTTGTTGTTACTATATAACAAATATTATATTTATTTTCAAGAAAATATAATTCTTAACGTTTAGTCAAATAGAAAAAAAGATAATTTTTTGACATTCAGCCAAATATTATGACATTAAATTATTTCCCAAAAAAATGACTCTTTTAGTCAAATAAAAAGAAAAAGTAGATGTTGTAATGAGATGAAGATGAGAAATGAGGGGGGACCCTCCTATTTCTTAATGTTTAGTCAAATAACAAAAAAAAAAGTAGATGTTGTAATGAGATGAAGATGAGAAATGAGGAGGAGACCCTCCTATTTATACTAAATAAGTTGGTCTACGCATTTAATGCACCTGCTGCAAGTGGTTTGACGTGGCGTCTTCTCGTTGGCTTAGTTACAGGGTCACTATGCAGCTACTCATAGGTTGACTGATCGAGGTGACAGAGTCGCCCTACCTGCAAGCTGTCAATCGCCGTTATGCAAGTGCAAGTTGGCCTCCATTACTTGTCGTATAAGATAAGTTTCCGGCTTGCGGGTTGCGTCATACTGCACCGTAGGCCAACTGGTCAACCTACGGTAGACCGACCGGGTGGCTTTCCGTCGGGGCGATTCCAAAGGTGATCTGAGAGCATATTCTTTTGTCACGAGGCCTATCGGTCCGGTTGATCACAATTGATTTAGTTCTGTCGGGTTGATGGTTATGACAGACCGGCTATACGGATTAGTTTTTTATGCGTATTAACCCATCGAATACCTTAACTATTCAATTTTTATCAATTTTTGTCACTTCGGTCAAATTGTCGGCCAAATCTCACCGAAAAATATTAATAGGTAAAATATAATCATTTTACTTTGGCGATCGTTTCTTCCTGCAAGATCCTTCTCACCGAAAAAATATTAATAGGTTTCTTCTTGCTGCACCGGCAACCACAACACACAGGCGAAAACACGGAATTCCATACACCAGACTCGGGTCCATATACTTCTGATAACTCTCTGTAATCTTTTCTGGCGGCGGGCTCGTAGGATCATCGTCGTCTTGTGAAGTTTTTTTAGTGAAGGAGATGTCTTCTTCTGCCAGTAGAATGGTGTTGTGGACGGGTTTCCGCCTCGAAGGTCCCAAAGTCAACGCCGGGGGCAGCGACGGAGCAGACGACTTGACGGGGCTGTACGGGCAATAGCAATGGCAGTAGCGCAGCGAATGACGCGGATGAGCGGGGTGGGATGTAGTCTATGAAAGGAGGCTTAGTGAGCTTTCTCTTCTTCTTTCTCGACCAGAACATGAGCTTCTTCTTGGCTTTGATCCTCTTCATGCCTCAGTTTGAGAGTGGCAGTGACGATGATATGAAAGATAAAGCTCCTACTACAATAAGGGGCTTGTAGGAAGAAACGATCGTCGGAAACTAGAGAGAAGAGATGGACTCATCGGAGAAGAAAGAAATGAGAAGTAAAATGACTAAAATATCCTCTTTATTTTACCTATTAATATTTTTCAATGAGATTTGACCGCAATTGATAAAAATTGAATAGTTAAGATACTAAATTAATAATTTTAAAAGTCGTGAATTGCAATAATTGACTATGAAGAATTCACCAATTTGGTGTTCGACTACCAAAATTTCTCAATTTGTCACCCGACTATGACATTTTTACCCAATTTGGTCCTAAGTGTTATTTGTCGGTCAAACCTAAAGGGTAATTTGGAGATTATTAAAAATAATTATTATTATCTCATCATCTTCAATCCAAATTATTATGATCATTTCCAATTTCTAGCCAACATCATCATCATCAACACCAACACCAACATGCCATTTATTCACTAGACTTCACCCTTCATTCTCAACATCAACTCAACACCATAGCCGATCACCTCTCAACTACATCGTCGGACATCACCACCATCCACATCGCGAATGCTGCCGGAACGTTCCGCCATCGCTGCACGCTAGTCAACGCTACCTCCAACTGCTACTACTAGGTTAGCCGAGATAGGGGAATGAAGGTAGACTATGGGAGTTGCTACTGCCAGAGCTCCTCCAAGACTGCCGCCGCGACAAGAAGCGAGAAAGGGAGACCGTTGCTCGCCATTGGCCTGCTCTGCTTCACCGGAAAAAGGACATTGTCAGAGTTGCTTTTGAGATGAGAGGGATAGGTGAGGGAGAGAGAGACGGAGGTCCATTGCCGTGCCTTTCTGCTGCCACTGGTCAATACTTTGCCGATCTACAGTCCGCGTCGTCGATGAGTGAGGAGCGATGGTGAGAGGTCGCCGGAAATGAGCTAACTGAAACCAGAAGTCACCGCAGATCCGCACGCGTCGGTGCTCTGCTCGCCCACTGATGTAGGTTTATAGTTGTTGCTTGAAAGACAGATGATTTCTCAACTCATTGCTCAAATTTTCGACTGGAGTTGTGCAATTAGCGTTTCGTATATGGGAATTCAACAATTAGAAGGTTTTGTTTTTCTGAAATAAGGCAAGTGTGGAATTAACTTAGACAGCCGAAAAAGAATACAATGTGCAATTACAAAAAGTCCTCAACGTTAGAACCCAAAAGTTGGAATCGTAAAATTAGGGTGCAAAGTTAATTCATTATTCCGCAAAGTAGTTCGTTCGCTGGACTTTGCAGATCGAATGCATATACGTACATGACTTACAAATGCCAATGCTAGATAACTCCATTTTGGTATCTGCAGTGTGTTTATAAATGCACTCAATGCAATACTGGTGGTTACAACATCAACTTCCAATGGATAAAATACATATAATATATATGGTGGTTAATTAGAATTGAATTTTGACAGCTCGTTTAGTAACTCTAACAAGAAAAGAAAAGGGTAATATAAACTTTTATCCAAAGCTTAACTCTTATCGCGATTTTAATTGTCAATTTCAATTTAAATTGTTATTATGTAGAGCTACTTCTAGGGGTGTGCAAACTTCGGATAATTTTCGGTTAACCGTTTTCGAACTGAACTTTTTCAGTTCGGTTAATGGTTAAAGGAATTCTAAAACTTTGGTTAACGGTTAATTCGGTTCGAAAGGTCGGTTAACTGAATTAACCGAATGGTTAACCGAAGTTTTTAATATATATAGAGTGAATCAACGATTTGGTCCCTCACTTATTCGCGACTTGTCAATGTTGCCCCTGAATCACGTATTCATCGATTTAGTCCCCGAAAATAATTGTTTTTCGACAAATCAGTCCCTATGGCCGTATTCCGTCAAGTCTCAGGCGAGAGCTCCAATTTGCCCTGGGCATTTTGGTCTTTTCACGCCTTCTTCTTCATTCCATCGTCGCCGACGTCAGCTTCACCTCCGATGATGAGTTGTTGACCCCAAACGTCACTCTCCGGCGAGTCATCCAGTCGTGGTGCCGGTTTGCTGCTTCGCCGGGAGGGATCAACTGCCAGGGACCCACCACTGCCGTCTCTGCCTCGCCGGGAAAAGGGGAGGTCACCGCCGCCATCTCTTGAGCAAGGGTCGCCGGAAAAACGAAGCTAAGCTTGCCACGCCGCCGCCGATCTATTTGCTTCGCTGGAAAAGAAAGAGGGGCGGAGGTCGCTGCTCCGATCTGCTGCTTCCGCCTCTTCGTGATTCCACCAGAGAGAGGGAGGGGAGATGTAGGTCCATGGACCTTGTCTCGCCGTCGGATGTTGTTGAAGCCGTACGTGAGTTAGTCGAGAGAAAAGGGAGAGACGAGAGGTAGATAGGGATTTGTTTGGTTGTTGCTCAGCTTTTACCGAGAGAGAAGAGAGACGGAGCTAGCCGCCGCCTGTCGCCGCGATCTACCGGGGGATCGCCGACGCTCGCTGTCGGAGGAGAGGAACGAGAGAGAGCTAAGATGGAGAGATACGGCAGAAAAGGGTTGTTTGCTGAGATTCTCAAATTGCATGTTAAGGGATGGAAGAATTCTCCTTGTTTACCATTGGATTTGATTCATAACACCATAGGTGTTAATTAGGCAAGCCATCGGAGGTGCAGCTGACGTCGGCGGAAGAGATGGAGCTCCCTCCGGCGAGCTTGAGCTTCTCCGACGAAGTTTGGTCAGAGTTAATGGAGAAGAAGGCGTGAAAAGACCAAAATGCCCAGGGCAAATCGGAGCTCTCGCCTGAGACTTGACGGAATACGGCCATAGGGACTGATTTGACGAAAAACAATTATTTTCGGGGACTAAATCGATGAATACGTGATTCAGGGGCAACATTGACAAGTCGCGAATAAGTGAGGGACCAAATCGTTGATTCACCCATATATATATAAATAATAATATAAATATAAATACTAATTTGAAGTTGTGGATGTTTGGAGTTTCTAATTAATGTTTTTGTATTTTTTGTTAAGAATTTATTATGATATGTATTTTATTTTAATTAGATTTATTATTTTAGGTGTTATTTTTAGAATTTTAAATTTTAGCTTTAAAAAGTTCGGTTAACCGACCGATTAACCGATAAAAATTTCGATTCGGTGAATTTGGTAGAGCAAACTTCAATTCAGTTAACGGTTAAAGGAAAAAAAATCGATTAATTCAGTTCGATTAAAACGATTTGGTTAACCGATTGAACACCCCTATACTTCAGTACCTAAATTAGTTGTCATGAGGTAGAGTAGCTACTTCACCTCAGAAGGACAACAAATGTAGGACCATGTTTGTCTAAAATGTTGGAAGATTCTAAAATAGCTTAACCCTTATCGTTATTTTACTTGTCATTTTCAATTTAAATTGTTATTTATGTGTATTATCAAAACATGAAAATGAGGCTTGCATATATCTAGTTATCGATATTATATGGTTAAAATTCATTCATTTTTTAAAGTTAAAAGCAACCAATATATATACACGCTATTGAATTTTAGTGTTGAATTGCATATTGTATAAAAACAGAATTAAAAAAAATTAATTAAAACTACTATTGTTTTGACATTGGCATATATGCTAAAAAAAATTATTTGATGCACTAGTATTTGATTGATTTTTCTCAATTTTTTATTGACTTAATACCCAAAATCGTCCTCGACTATAGTGGTTTTTCTCAATTTCGTCCTAAACGACTTTGGTGACCTAATATTGTCTCAGACTTTTGTGTTTCGCTCAATTTAGTCCTCCATTTGTTATTCCGTCAAATTGGTGTTAAATAAAGGGACAATTCAGTAATGTCAATATTGATCTCTCTTTACTTTCAACTTGTGAAGTGCGAAATTCCTCTTTCTTGTACGAATTACACTCAGAATTACTCCCGGACCTGCAAATCAAATTTTATATTCGCAGTTTTAGGAGTAATTCTGGAAGTAATTCGTAAAAAAAAAAAAAAAGATTTCGCAGTTCACATGTCTATGAGTAAAGAGATGCCAATATTAAAATTACTAAATTGTCTATTTATTTAACACCAAATGGACAAAATAACAAATGAAGGACTAAATTGAGCAAAAACACAAAAGTCTGGGACTAAATTGAGCGAAACACAAAAGTCTGGGACGATATTAGGTCACCAAAGTCGTTTAGGACGAAATTGAGAAAAATCACTATAGTCGAGGACGATTTTGGGTATTAACTCATTTTTTATTATATATAGTCATTTTTAAGTCATTGTATGATCAATCAACTCATAAACACTGTACCTAATCAAAATAAAGATTTGTTTTTAAGTGACGAGAGAAACTTGTAACCACTATTCGATGATGTGCACAGAGTAAAATTCATAGTGTTGTGACCTTAGTCGGCAAAGGACCACAATGAGGTAAATGAACCTATGTTACTCATAAATAACGGACTGAAATCAAGAAAGTCAAAATGTAAAATAACGAGTTTTATTACATTACTCGGATGTGAGCTTAAGATGAAAAATAATATTATTTTTTTAATTACAAATTTAAGACGTTAATGAATCAAAACTAAATCTTAACTATAACTATCTCTTAAAAAATGTCATTTTTAAGGAAAATACTATGTCGACTCACATTCTTTACTCCCACACAAAAGAATCTTGATGTAGACACTTTTAAAGTAGTCACATGAAAAAATAGGGAGTAATTTATAAGCGTCTGTCGTATCAGAACGTAAAAGTGAGATAGTAAAAATTAAAAAAACATGTAATAGAATTTTATATTTAAATAAAAATACTACATGTACTTCTATTTTTTACTCTCACATAATCTTGATGTAGACACTTGTATTGAGATTCACATAAAAAAAAATAACTGGTCAATATATGCCATATCAAGGAGTATAATTTGAAAGTCTATTAATAGAATTGTTTTTAAATTTATTTTCCGCTATAGCGTATAGGTAGACAGACAAAATCATCACCATATAAGGGAAAATTGTCAAATGTCAAAGAGGGAGACGTTCGAGACGCCAATTACTGAATTTGCCCAAAACATGTGAGCAAAATGGATATTTCACACGACGCGACTTTTTCTCCAAGCTGATAATAATATCTCTATCAAATGAAATCCGTCCACGTGTCAGTGTCCTGATGATAGTTTTAACACGTCATCAAAATGCTCCCTCCCCCTATCCATTAGCTTAGCTGCTGCTCTCTGCTCTGCTCCTCCCACCATAGCTGCGAATCCGAAGCTCGCTACTCGAACGCTTAATCACATACCGCCATTTTCCCGCCATTTTTTTCAAACCTTTTTTGTTTCCCCTGAGAAACAGGTGGAGGCAATGAAACTGGAGCCGGCACTCTGAACGAGGTCAAAGTAGAAAGCGAGAATTCCGGGCGGAAATGGAGTGCATCGGAGCTCTGAACTTCTCTGCAATGGCGCTCTCCACGTGTCCTGCGGTGAAATCATTCTGTAGGAGGAGGTTGAGGGGTGAAAGGCACGGGGTTTGGCCTGTACGTACGGAAAATTGTACGTATATATCGACTTCGGCGGCAGCGGCGGCGGCAGTGGCGACTCTACGAGTGAGGTGCAAGAGCAGTGGTAGTACCAGTGCTGGCGTGGCGGTGAGAGAAGAGTTTGCGGACGAGGAGGATTATGTAAAAGCCGGCGGTTCGGAGATTTTGTTTGTTCAAATGCAACAGAACAAGCACATGGATGAACAGTCTAAGCTTCTGGACACGGTGGATATCATGATCCCATAGGAAAATGATATTTTCTTATCATCATTATCATCATCATCATCTTCTTTTTGAGTCATTGCCATTTATCTGCATTTTTATATTCCTGTTATTTTGCCCATTTGTGGTATTCGATTGTGTTGTTAGCTGATCGGTGTAAACCTTTAAGTGTTCAATTTCAATGTGTTATTAAGTAAACGTAGGGTAAATCATTTGAGTCGATATATAATTTCTAATGAATTATGAGTGACTCGATTGAATTAGTTTGCAGCATTCTCTGACTACTAAAAGCCAATAATCGACCTTGGGAATAATGTTTGTGATGTAGAGCAGTTGTCATGGCTCAATTTGTTGCTGGATTTAACCAAATAGAGAATTATAAATTGAACTAAAGAAAGAATTACACAATGGTATCACATTCTGGACATATTTAGAGGGGTAAAAAAAGCTGTTGCACAGAGATCTGTATACCTATCCGTTTCATAATTTTATTCATGATGTTATCTCTGCTGGTTGCAGTTGCCACAAATATCAGTAGGAGAAGACATCTTGGACTTGGTAGTGATTGGCTGCGGTCCTGCTGGCCTTGCGCTTGCTGCGGAGTCAGCTAAGATAGGCTTGAATGTGGGGCTCATTGGCCCTGATCTTCCTTTCACAAATAACTATGGGGTCTGGGAAGATGAATTCAAAGGTAAATAACCTTTAGTTATCGTATGTCCTGTTCTTTTTATCTTGATAGATCATAGAATATGTTAACCTGATCCATAAATGATTATGGATAAGGATAGTAGCGTTTCAAAATAAGCTACTAGCTTATTTTGGGAACATGATCAAACAGAGCTTATATCTTATTAGTAGCTTAAAATAAGCTATAAGCTCCTAAATAAGCTCTGCCAAACAGAGGCTATGTAATTATGGCTGAAGATGTAAGGTCCATTTACTTTTGGTGATGCAACTACCTTAGTAAAATTTGATTTCCCCTTGCTATATGCTTCTGTGGCTTGTATGGTGAATTCTTTCAAGTAGTTTATGATGTAAAATTGTAATGCTATTTTTTTTATTCCCTACTGCACCACATGTGATGGTGACTTGGTTATAGAATAGAAAAGAGGGAGAATAAATGGCGAAAAATCAACAATGTTCATCCTTTACTTGGTTTCTGAAATAATATAGCTAGTAATGATGCACTTGCATTGTACATGAAAGATCAGTGTTTGTACAATGTGAAGAATTTTGATCATATGTAAGTCTTACATTTGCCACCACAACTGGCATTAAACTTTCTTCTTTACAGATCTTGGGCTTCAGAGATGCATTGAACATGTTTGGCGGGATACCATTGTATATCTTGATGATGGAGATCCTATTCTTATTGGCCGTGCTTATGGACGTGTTAGTCGCCATTTGCTCCATGAGGAGTTGTTGAAAAGGTTACATCTACTGAAGCTTAACCATGAAATTAGAGATCATAAAAATAAAATATTTGAAACATCAATCTTGGTCTTTCTGCTACTTTTTATTTCACAAATCAATAATTCATATTAGTTTCTTAGGTGTTTGGAGTCAGGGGTTTCATATCTTAACTTGAAAGTGGAAAGGATTGTTGAGAATGCAATTGGTCAGAGTCTTGTGGAATGTGAAGGCAATGTCATCATTCCATGCAGGTACAAGCTTGCTCTGGTTTCCATCACTAATATTGGACATTTAAATACTGGTTTTATAACTTCAAATTTTATAATACAGGCTAGTTACTGTCGCATCTGGAGCCGCCTCAGGGAAATTGTTGCAGTATGAGGTTGGGGGTCCAAGGGTTTCTGTTCAAACAGCTTATGGTGTGGAGGTTGAGGTATAACAACGGACTGCCTCTCTAATCTCTTATAATACTCGGTTTTGTATATGCTCTTTTGATGTTATGCACTCACTAAAAAAGTTTTGATAGTTTTCCTCTAGCTGACTAAATATGCTCAAATGGTGAATCAAAGTGAAGATTGTGGCATGAATGATGTGTTCATTGTATTTTGCAAAAGATTCTGGTTTCATGGAAAACTGGGATAGGCTCTTCTTTTTGAATGAGAAATTGGTTTAGTGATGTTGTTCTTATGTTAAAAAAGTACTATTCCACAACAATCATTTATATTTATATATATAAATGAGACTTTTATGGTTTCTGTATCTTCAATGACACCAAGTATGAAACTAAAATAGTAAAATTTGTTAAATGCTGCAGATATATGATTATTTTTCATATTTAATACTTTTTAGGTGGAAAACAATCCATATGACCCCAGCCTGATGGTTTTCATGGATTACAGAGACTATGTCAGACACAAAGTTCACTCTTTAGAAGCAGAATTTCCAACCTTTCTTTACGCAATGCCCATGTCTGATACAAGAGTCTTTTTTGAGGTTAGTGCTGGATCTTTTGGTGTGTACTACATCTTACATGGTTACGCAAGAGAATATAATGCAATGCTTTTCAGGAAACTTGTTTGGCTTCAAAAGAAGCTATGCCTTTTGATCTCTTGAAGAACAAACTAATGTTAAGACTGGAGACAATGGGTATCCGAATAAAGAAAATTTATGAAGAGGTAATCCAGTTGCTCTAATGTGATTATATTCTTACTGGAAAATGTAAGTCCTTTTCGGGACTATATTCAATAAATACCATTAATCAAAAATCAAGCACCAAAACTTATGCTGTTATGCAGGAATGGTCTTATATACCAGTTGGTGGATCCTTGCCAAATACTGATCAAAGAAACCTTGCATTTGGTGCTGCTGCTAGTATGGTTCATCCCGCTACAGGTAATATAGGCTGATTTATATTTTGAAGAAGTTGAACTATAATATTTTTTGAAACATTGTCACCTTTGCTCACCAGGGTATTCGGTGGTAAGATCATTGTCAGAGGCTCCAAGATATGCATCTGTCATAGCAAATATTTTGAAACGAAGTCCTGCTATGGATGATATGCTTGTCAGTTTAAGAAGTACGGAAAATATTTCAACACAAGGTATGGGATATGTGTAATTATCTTGGTACATTTTACAATATTTGAGTTTGCATTTTAACTGCCTATGAATACAGGATAGATTTTGAAGTATGCAGAAACTTTTGTAATTCTATAAGATATTTAAAGAAATGCATTAAAAAAAGAAGAATGGACATGGTAGTTTGATCAGGACAATCTGACAAAAACTAGCAGAAAAAAGCCCACAACCAAGGGAAAGAAATATGAAGCTGGAATCAATTCTCAAGTTCTTGTTGTTATTCAAACAAAAATGGTTTCTGAAACATTATAACACACATTCGAAGAGGCGTTCCCTTAATCTACATGACAGAAATACCAGAGGAGAAAGCTGGATCATTTAGAAATTTCAAAAACTTAGTCCCCAAAAATGCTAGTCTTGCACCATCTCTCTCTCTCTCTCTCTCTCTCTTGATTTTTGCAGTCATGAATTGTGACTGACTTTAATGTTGAAATTCTGGTTTCAGCTTGGGAAACGCTTTGGCCGCAAGAAAGGAAACGACAAAGATCATTTTTCCTATTTGGTTTGGCACTTATATTGCAGCTTGATATTGAAGGAATACGAACATTTTTCCACACATTCTTCCGCTTACCAAACTGGTAAGAATCAAAACTTTTATCCCCTAGTCTGGTATATACAACTCATATTTGGGGAAATAGTACTTCAAAATTAGGCAATTGTACCCAAGTGCTCCAGTTTGGCACTAGGATTGAAAATGATTTTGTTAAAAGTTCAGTTTGGTCGAGGACTAGTAGCCAAGTAAGCCAAGTGCTCACCTGTTGAATGATACACCCAAGTTCATGTCTATACAGCCTCTGGTTAGGTTACCTGCATCTTCCTTTCTAGAACCTAAAAAGCCTACATAATATTGAAATCATGTGTGTTAGGATGAACCTACAACCACATAAACATGGTAGGCCAATTATTGAAACATTAAAAACCTAGAGATTGAGCATATATTATTTTCCAAACATAGGAATATGTATGTCCTATTTCTCAGAAGTCAGATCCTCTGAAGCACATGAAGAAAACCAATCTTATGTAGACCATAATGAGACCATATTGCCATATTGGTAATCCAGAACAAAGAAACTCTTTCTAAATACATCTAAGTGTTTTCTTAATCATTTTTGTTTGCATACATTTACCTACTTACTCAAAGGCATGTAACCTTAAAATTCTCAAAAATAGATAACAGAATTCTATTTTCCTTATAGGATGTGGCAAGGATTTCTGGGATCAACTCTATCCTCAGCGGACCTCATGTTATTTGCATTTTATATGTTTGTTATTGCCCCCAACGACATGAGAAAATGCCTCATCAGACATCTGATATCTGACCCAACTGGTGCAATCATGATAAGAACTTATCTCACTCTGTAAATCCATATTTCTAGTCGATGTTATATTATAGAATAGATATATAGAAACCATGTGTAGAGGCCATGTATCCACTTCAGAGGTTTCCAATTCTATAGAATTTTTTATTTATCAAATAAAGCTACTGCTCCTTTGATTCTGTGGTTGGTCAGTAGTGCTGTGAAAAGTAACACAAAAATTTTGTGGTCTGGTAAACAAATCATCGCCACAAGCTTGTATGATCCACATGGTTTGGTTATTTTCTTGACAATTTCAGTCAAGTTGGTTGATTGTTGGCTTAATAATCATAATATTTCAAATTTGACTTTTAGTAGGAGCCACCTATTACTTTTTGATTTAAGCAAATTATCTATAAGCATGATTTATCTCCCTGTAATCATTTATCCCTAATTTGCAATATGCAAAATGCAAAGTTAGTCCTTTATAATTTAATCAATGTCTCGTGTACATCAATTCTATTTCAGAGTAATAGACTAAAAATGTCAAGTTGGGTCAACCCGAAGAAAAGTCAAACAATCTATAATTCTCCGTATTAAGTGCTGGGAATTACTATTCTACCCCCAACTGAGCCGCCCTCTAAATCCGGTAATCACCGAATCCCAAAACGCCGATTGCTCTGACCTCGGACGTACATTCCGGTTCACAGCCAAGGAATGGAAGCGACAGCCGACGGCCACCGTCCTCCGCCAGTGTCGGCCCTGACTGTAGCAGTGGCCGTGAAAAGCGCCGATGGAAGAGGTAGTCAACGAGCCGTCCGGTGGGCTGTGGAGAAGCTGCTGCCCAAAGCCGACCGCTTTATCCTTGTACACGTCATGCCTAGCGTCACCTCAGTTCCTACTCCATGTATCTCTCTCTATCTCTCTCTCACTGTGTGTCCATATGCATATATATACACATGGAGTATATATCATTCGGAATTTCGGATGATGTGTTATATATAAACTTGTGTGATTATAGATTTATCTGTTTATGGAAGAAAAAACCTGCTTTCAGCTAATTTTTGAAGTTAGGATTTACAACAAATTGAGAGCTTTTATAATTCTGTTGAGCATTCTTTATCTGCTATGGAAATTTGCTTCTATGGTTATTATTAAAGACGGACGCGCTATTAAGAATTTTATAAGAAAAATATAAATAACAAGGAAAAAAAAATGATAATTAACACGACTAGCATACCATTTACATGGAAAACTCCTAGACCATTCTCCATTCACTATATTCCATATGAAAAAGCATCAAAAGTTACAAAAATTTTAAAAATTCTCGGTAATGATTTTTGTTCAAGAAGACAATCCAGTTCCCTTTCAAATGAGTTCGCCATTGCCAAAGTTTACTTAGCATGGAGTATTTACCTTAATTTCATCTTTTTTTTTTTATAGCTGTGCTACAAAAAAGAGAAACTGCAAATATTGGTTGACTTGTATGATTTGTGACACTGAGCTGACTTAATCTTTCATGTCCATTAAGTTCTCAAACTGGTTCACTTTAGAGTGAAGCACTTGCTAAGTTTAATATTGACTCCGTAGAAAACAAGAGATATTGCAAAATGTTAGTTGACTTGTATGATCCATGAATCCTAGCTGACTTAATCTATCATGTCCATTAAGTTCTCAAAAAGGTTCATTTTAGAATGAATGCTTGCTCAATCAAATATTTAGCCTTGTGAGTCATGACTTTTGATTTGTATTCCTATGAGACATATTGCAGCAGGAGAGAGAGTTTCTGTTGAGGAGCTGGAGACCAGTGTGGTGGAATGGTATGTGCAGGATAGGAAGGCTAAATGTGAAGAGATATTTATTCCATTTAAGATACTATCCAAAAGGAAAAAAGTGAGTTTTATGTTTTCTGGGTGGTTTCCATTTAAGATTCTATCCAAAAGGGAAAAAAAGTGAGTTTTATGTTTTCTGGGTGGTTTACTTTTACAAGATAATATTCAGGTTCAGTAATGTTGAAATTCCTGCAGATGGAAACTTTGGTACTTGAAGGAGACAGTCCTACAACAGTACTTCTGAGATATGTAACTGACTCTGCGGTTAGTAGTTTAGTGATGGGCTCATCCTCTCCTTGCTACTTTTCTAGGTATGGTCAAATGACTCCTTTGGCTTTAGTTCATTGCACTTATTCTGCAGTTTGTGGTTGGCATTTCAATTTCAGTGCTATTTTCTACTTTAGGCCTTGTTCATCTAAAAGTTTTTTCTAATCATTACTTAAAACTAAGTTATCTATTCATATTTGAGTTAGCAATCAAGTCTTCTACTGAAAATATACTGGTTTTTCATTCATGATCCTTGAGGCAAAACCCTTTTTTATTTTCCAATTCAATGACTTGCAATGCCCTTATTTGTAATGTCTCTTCTGCTAATAATTATGTAACTGATTATTATCAGGAAGGCAAAAGGCTTGGATGTGCCATCAGCTGTTCTCAAATATGCCCCTGATTCCTGTGATGTCTTTGTGGTATCTACTAATAGGCTTATGGCGAAGTCTTTGAATCCTTTGTTAACTTCTGGTATGATAATATCATTCTGCTAATTTACCACCATGATACACTACTTTGTCAATTTTGTTTTCTTGTGAACCTGTACTAAAAAATTCACCATGTCTTGTGCTTCTATGGAATCAAAAGCACACAGCAGGTCATCATCCATTGCTGAATTTAGTGACCCAGATGCTGCAGCACTTGACCAAGGGGATTCTTCTATATATTTTCATGCTTCTCAGGAAAGAAATTACCAAAATCTAGAAGATACCTCCTCAACTTTATATTCAGCCAATGGAAGCCCTTCTTACTCGGTGCGGATCAATTAATGTTAGATTTCCTCTGTTGTATTTATCTCGTATGTGGATCTGGATGCTTTTATACATAAAATATGCTACTTCCAAGTATTGCTCTACTTATCTTTTTTTTTGTATGCATGAAAAAAGATACTGTATATATTAATGTACAAGTGATTCTTATACACAAGGACATCTCTTTATTCAGCCAGAGGTTCATGATGAAGTTGGTCAATTGCGCCTAGAGTTACAGGATACGCTAGCCATGTATAATCAAGCATGTGAAGACCTGATTTATGCCCAAAACATGGTGAGTTGTTGGAACATTATATTACATTATTACGTCTAGAAACGTGGTACTATGATAAGGTATCTCATATAATTTAGCAAAGCAAATAGTCTAAAAGTGGAGCATAAATCAAGCTTCATGTCAAAGTGAAGTCTCCAAATATTTGTACATAAGATGTACGATAGACCACATATGGATTATCTTGGAGAGCACAAAGTGAAGTCTACAGTGTCTATAGACACAAAGAATGAAGAATGATGATATACCAAATATATTCTCTGCCTCTTCTGCTAGCTCCAAACAATATGTTATTCATTCTCTTTCTTGCCAGGTCAACTTGCTTACTTCTGAATGCCTTGAAGAATCACGAAGAGTAGATGCTGCCCAGAAAAGAGAAGAAAATCTAAGGAGACTTGCTGCTGAAGAGAAAGAAAAACATTTGAAAGCTGAAAAGGAGGTTGAGATGGCTCGAAAATTGCTTGATAAGGAGACTTATGAGAGGCGGGTAGCAGAACTGAAATCTCTTAAGGAGTCCTTAGAGAAATGTAGTGTTGTTGATGCACTATTATCATGTGATGGGAGGTATCGTAGATACACACGATATGAGATTGAGGTAGCAACTGATGGCTTTTCTGAGTCAAATTTGATAGGTGAAGGAGGATATGGGAAAGTTTATAAAGGCAACCTTGATCATACCCCTGTAGCCATCAAGGTTCTTCATTCAGATGCATCCGAGAAGACACAGGAATTTTTGAGAGAGGTTTTTTCTTTTTTCTTTTCTGTCCTTTTCATTTCTAGTTGACCTGCAACACTAGATGGGCAAAATATTTAACACTCGCAGGAGTTACTAAAACCAGATTTATATTTCCTATGGTGAATTGGCTTCTATTTTATTCATTGTATGTTTTACTTGACACAGGGTGTGTTATATGTTGATAAAAATAGGACTATCATTTCTATGTAAATGTGGCTGTTTATCTTTCTGCATCTCATGAAATACTAAACTCTCATTAACATATCAATTCACGCTTTGTGTCATACCATCAGTGTAAGGCACAGATGATATTATGCTCATTGTTGATTTTTCTCTTCTATACAGTTTGTTTCACTTTAGTTTGATTGGATCACACTATTTATATGCAACTTTAAACTCCCATTAACAATTAATTAATTATTTGCAGGTTGAGGTTCTTAGTCAATTGCGACACCCAAATATTGTTTTACTGATTGGAGCTTCACCAGATAGTTGTTGCCTTGTTTATGAATATATGGAAAATGGAAGCCTGGAAGATCACATTGTCCAAGGAAATGGCAGATCTATGCCTTGGTTCATTCGTTTCAGGATTATTTTTGAGGTGGCCTGTGGACTTGCATTCTTGCACAACTCAAAGCCAGAGCCTATTATTCATCGTGATCTCAAACCCGGTAATATCCTGTTGGACAAGAATTACACGAGCAAAATTGGAGATGTTGGGCTAGCAAAATTTGTTTCGGATGTTGCTCCTGAAAGCGTCACAGAATATAGAAACTCCATCATTGCTGGCACGCTCACTTACATGGATCCTGAATATCAAAGAACTGGCACCATCAGACCCAAGTCCGATCTGTATGCTTTTGGAATTATCGTACTTCAACTGTTGGCTGCCCAACGTCCCAATGGACTTGTACTGAAGTTTGAAAATGCTGTCGACCGTAATTCCATCTCGGATATACTTGATAAGTCGGTAACAGATTGGCCTTTGATTGAGACAGAGGAGCTCGCTAAATTGGCTCTAAAATGCTGTCAACTCAGATGCAGAGATAGACCAGATCTAGACACTGAAGTTCTGCCTATTCTGAAAAATCTTGCCGAGTTTGCTGACACCAGTATAAAGGCATCAAGAGACCATGTCCATGCACCTAGCCACTACTACTGCCCAATCCTTCAGGCAAGCGCTTTAAAAATGCCATAAATACGAACTTTTTTGGGGTGATTGAGAGAAACCCGCAGCCATTACCCGAGAGTGTGTACTGGGTAAACCCCTACAAGGAGGTAAAACAGCCTAGGTTGTCCATAGTTGACCGGCTCAAACCAAGAGGGTTGTGAATTGGGATTCGAATTCGTGACCTTGTGGTTACAAGTTTGTATCCTTAGCCATCTTGGATGGGGTTATCCTCGCCATAAATACGATCTTGTTATGTGAAGTGCTTTCGAGTTTCTATATAGTCTGTGTATCTCATCTGTCTCTTGTGTGACATTGCAGGAAGTAATGGAAGACCCACATATAGCTGCTGACGGCTTTACTTACGATCACACAGCAATAGAGGCATGGCTCGACAGACATAATATTTCCCCAGTGACAAAACTGACATTGCAGCACAAGACGCTTACACCAAACCACACCTTACGCCTCGCAATCCAAGAGTGGAAGTCGAGCACAACTTCTGCGGGAGGTTAGCATGTTGCATGTCGGTGTGGAATCAGGAATGCGCGTGATATCAACTAAACCACGCCCTCACACTCTCTTTCTGCACGTTAGAATTCGAGTTTCAGTGGTGCGAAAATTACAAATCATATTTAACTTTTGTTCATTTTGATCATTTCTGGCATTTGGTGTTGCCATTGCATATTTGCATAGAAGGCAAGTGTATAGTAGGGGTGCAAGTAGTTATTTTAGGGCAGTGCAAGATTGTAAGTAGCAAAACAGGTTAATAATTGTGTTCTGAATAGTGTGTTTACTCTGTAAATAAGTATCCTTTTGATTGTTTAAGTCAAATGGTAAAAAATAAAATTGATCAATCAAACAAGAGCAAATAACATTTTCTTTAAATTTTTAAAAAATTAATTTTCATGAAAAATGATTTCCATCTAACTGAACATTTTATGATAGGAACCCGCATAGACTACTTTTGTTAAGTTATCATAATTTACATTCTCTTAAACGCCTTGTCAGCGAAAGCATGGGCCCTTTTAGGTTAACAACAACAATTTTATTATAGGAACCTACCAAACTGTCCCTAAAGGTTTTTTTTTTTTGTTATTAAAAAAAAAAAAAAAAAAAAAAACTCCGTAATTCCACGGAAAATAAGCTGCCGCCATTTTCAGTCGTACATTTCATTTTCGAGCCTTCGTTGTTTCCGGCGAGCCATCTATTTCTCTCAAGCTTTTTAGAGTACTTTCGTTTCTTCCCCAGTCCTGACTTTTTGTAACGCAGGGTCTAGGTATTTTGAACTCATTTAAGCTAGTATAATTTAAACTATCTGCTTTTGATGATTTCCGTTACGTATATTTGAATGCCCATATTTTGTATTCATCACGAAAAGGGAGAATCATGTTTCCAATTCATGGTTTTAGAATTCGTACTCGAATCTGATGCTCCTTGTTACTGCGACCGATTGGAGTTCATAATGAAATCATTTTTGGCCTTTAGTAAGTCGCAACAATAGCTTTATAATTGTGAACTAAGTTGAGGTTTTCTTCAAGTAGTCTGGAATATAATCGTTCAGTTTTCTGGATTTGTTCGGTGTCAATCTTGCTGGTGTGAATTGCCAGATGTGTTAAGGAATTATCCAATTAGTTTAATATAGTTTTACAAGTCTGTTCCATAATTTATTGCTGAAAATTTTGTTTTCAATTTTGTCTCTGGTTTTTATGAGTACTTGGACAAAATTCATTACTCAAGCTTTCATATTTTGTTTTAATTCATGGTCTCATTGAAGAAATATGCTCCGTCTTTACTTACATGGTAGTATATTTTTTTGTGTTTTCTGCAGGGCTAAGCATTTCTTTGAATTTCAATAATGTCAAAAATAATGCGACATTATCATTGTGCCTCTGCAATCTGTATCTTGTACTTCATTTCCATCACCAAACAATGAACAGTTAACTTGTAGATCTTTGACATGAATGTGATTATGTCGATGCCAACATTTAAATGCAGTGTTTTCACCTTAGGACCTGCAGAGGTTGGGTTGTTGAGACCTCTCGTTTCTTCACTCATGGCAGTAGGTTTTCTCTTTCAACGCCCCAGCCCCTATTATTTTTCAACAGTAGCAGCAATGCCTCATTTGCATAATGTCAATATAACTGGAGGATCGAGCACATCCAATTCATTGATCGAGAAGTTTGCTGTGTACTGCTACCAGAGGGATCTCCCAAGAGCCATGAATGCCCTTTATGCCATGGAAAAACACAAGATATCGGCTGATGCTATTACCTACTCTGAGCTTATAAAGTGCTGTGTTACTCGGCGTGCTGTTGAACATGGCAAACGTGTCCACCAACACATTTTTTCCAATGGGTACCAGCCAAAGACCTTCTTACTCAACATACTTCTTAACATGTATGTGAAGTTCAACATGTTGGACGAAGCACACGCTTTGTTCAACCAAATGCCTGAGAGAAATGTTGTCTCCTGGACTACCATTGTAGCTGCTTACTCTAGTTCTAAGCTCAATTACAAGGCTTTCAAGCTATTGATTCTCATGCTAAGGGATGGAGTCCAACCCAATATGTATACTTACTCCTCTGTTCTCAGATCATGTGATGCCCTTTCCAATCTCACACCTCTTCATTGTAGCATCATTAAGGTGGGGTTGGAGTCTGATGCCTTTGTCCGCAGCGCGCTGATTGATGTCTACTCCAAAATGGGTCAACTGAAGAGTGCTCTTGATGTCTTCAATGAGATGAAAACACATGATCGGGTGGTTTGGAACTCTATAATTGGTGGCTTTGCTCAAAACAGTGATGGCTATGAAGCCTTGACTCTCTACATAAAAATGAAGCGAGCTGGTTTTCCGGCTGACCAGTCAACCCTAACTAGTGGTCTAAGAGCATGTACCAGTTTGTCACTTTTAGAAGTGGGCAGGCAACTCCATGTTCAGATTCTCAAATTTGATCAAGACCTCATACTTCACAATGCACTTCTTGACATGTACTGCAAGTGTGGCAGTGTGGACGATGCTAACCGTACATTTACTCGGATGGTGGAGAAGGATGTCATCTCATGGAGCACCATGATTATGGGCTTGGCTCAGAATGGTTTTAGCAAAAAAGCTCTAGAGCTGTTTGAGGAAATGAAGAGCTCGGGGATGAAGCCTAACTACATCACTGTCCTTGGAGTTCTATTTGCTTGCAGTCATGCAGGACTGGTAGAAGATGGGCAGTATTACTTCCGATCAATGAAGACACTTTTTGGAATTGATCCAGTAAGAGAGCATTATGGTTGCATGGTTGATCTTCTTGGGAGAGCAGGCAAGCTAGATGAAGCAGTGAAATTAATTCATGAAATGGAATGTGAACCGGATGCTGTGACGTGGAGGACATTGCTCGGTGCTTGCAGATTACATCGAAACATGGATCTGGCTGAGTATGCTGTGAAACAAATTCTTAAGCTAGACCCAAGTGATGCTGGAACCTACATACTGCTCTCCAATATTTATGCACGAACTCAGAAATGGGAAGAGGCTTCCAATGTGAGAAGGGCCATGAGCAACAAAGGAGTCAAGAAAGAACCAGGTTGTAGCTGGATTGAAGTAAATAAGCAGATTCATGCCTTCATTTTGGGAGACAAGTCCCACCCACAGATAAATGAGATTGGCAAAGAGCTCAATCAGGTTATTACAAGATTGAAAGAAGTAGGCTATGTTCCTGATACCAACTTTGTCTTGCAAGACCTTGAAGGTGAACAGATGGAAGACTCACTTCTGTACCACAGTGAAAAGCTTGCAATTGCTTTTGGCATAATGAGCTTGCCAAGAGAAAAGACCATTAGAATCAGAAAGAATCTCAGAATATGTGGAGACTGTCATTTATTTGCAAAACTCTTGACGAAGGTAGAGCATCGAACCATTGTCATCAGAGATCCAATCCGCTACCATCATTTCCAAGAAGGTATTTGTTCTTGCAGTGACTACTGGTAGCAGGGAGATTACTGGCAAACCTTTGCAAAAACTGAAATTAAAAAAATGGTAATACACGGGTATTTATGCAAGCCTGTGTCATATATTGTGGGCAAGAGGCATATGTAGACTGCGCCTTGAAATGGCAAGAACATCACAACATTCTTTCTACTGCTCTGAATTAAACCTGTCATGGGTTCATAAATTATGTTTATGGATTGGAGGATGCAAACTCCTATACTCTAAGACTAGGCCTTATAGACGGAGCTTCAGTAGCAGCTTGGTCAGAAGGAAGTTACTTGCATTATGTTCATGCGTAAGTCTTATTACCAAGGTTACGACGGGTAATTTTATCAGCCAAATTATAAGTTGTGTGGCCTTGACAGCCAACTACAGGTTGGTTGATATTGAAACCATTTAGGATAGAGGAAGCCTGTGATCTCCTTACAGTTCTGCTATGGAACATCATCACCTGTGTCTTCATTAAAGATATAATCAGTGACAACACTCTTACCAGCTCGCTCAGGACATTACTTCTATGTATTTGTGTTCTTTCATGTCCACTTGCTTTCTCTGAATGCCTCGAGGGAGCATGAAGATTTGATTTGATTATACTTTCCAGAACTGAAGAATGTCTTAGCAGAGTTGTTGCTGGAAGAAGGAAGAAACAGTTGGAAGCTGAGTAAGAAGTTGAAGACTTGAAATGACCATAAAATTGCATGCTGAGGGGACCTATGAGAATTGGATAGCAAAATTGAAGGCTCCGTTTCGAAGTCTTTATGGAAAGAGAAAATATTAATGTACTATTGCCATTTGATGGAAAATAGAGGAAATTAATTCTCTTCTGAGTCTAATATAGCTGGAGGATATGGGAGGTTTGAACCTTGATCATAAGTCATAACCCTGTTGTTGTTAGTTTTCATCATAACTCATCTAAAAGGAAAAGGAAAAAGAATGAAATTCTATTTGATGTTGTCTTATATTTCATTATAGCTCACCAGTAACATACATACAGTATTTGTGAAGTTTCAAAATACAGTATTCATCTACCAGTTAATGGTTCTATTCACTTTTTCTCATATATATACCCTGTGTATGTTTGTTAGCAAAGAATGAGGTTTTAATTAATCTATTGTACTTCCCATCTGGGATATGCAACTTATATGTTCTGATTAAACAAAGATGGGGTTGGGGTTATGATGTCTGTGTAGATAGATAGTCTTTTATCCTAATGCTTTTATCTTCCGATTCCCTCAAGCTGATTTTACTTAATTGATTACACACTCATCATAGATACCATGTGCAATATCCTTGCCACCATCTTCATTGCTTCCATTTATTACTGTGAAATAATTTGTTCCAATTTAATCATTTTAATGTAAATATACCCACCATTGAAACTATATTTATATTGTATTCCATTGTATGCAGGTTGAATACATTTAAAATGGAAGTCTCGACGCCCCCATATTATCTGAGAAAAGCTGCAGACCTCATGGCTTTTCTTCTTTTTTTTTTTTTGAAATACAGAAAGGTTTTTGCAGATGGCCTTCAGGTTTATATTCTTGCACAAATAAGCCTATTAACATTGTTTCACTCAACTTTGCAACTCATGCTGCATTTTGCTTGTGTCTCATGTGACATTATTGCAGGAAGTATGAAAGATCTGCAAATAGCAGCCTGCGTTTTTGTACATGAACACTGACCTAAAGAGGCATGGCTTTTGTACATGAACACTGACCTAAAGAGGCATGGCTTCAGACATACATTTCGACAGTGTGAAAGCTTAGTCTGCAGCCCCATGTGCCTTCCCGTTACCTCCAGCATTTCTGCATGGACCATATTTCTCGCCAACATAAATGGAATCTGAGTGGAAAAATGAAATGCAAGGTAAGGAGGTTTTTAGTGTTATCAAGAATGGTGTTTAGCTTAGACACATCCTGAATGGTTGCAGCTCCTTTACTGAGACATGTGTTAACCATTTTTAACATGTAGTTGAACCTTCTCAGTAGGATAGAAAGAACCATTTCCTTCCTGTCATTTTATGTATCAAAACCATTTCTATAGACCAAAACAAAAATTACTCTGCATCTATTGCTCTCTTATTTACCAATCATATGATACAGAAAACAGCATAGTGACCATGGTGTAAATGAAAGCTGCATGTTCATGAAACTATCACATTTCCCATGCCTTTAAGAATTCTTATTAGCTTGCATTTGGACTGTTGGAACTAAGAATTTTTATTTCAATTTTGCAGTCTACATTTTTCAATCATGGAATGCACATATCTTAACAGAAGTATGTTCTTATGTCTCCCATGGTAGGTGAGTCGGTGATTGAGGACTGAAATGCACGGTGATCTTGATCACTGTTAGATCCACACAAGGCTTCTGAAACAGCCTGTTTCAAACTACTAGTACGCAAGGCTCTAGTTGCAGTAGGAGAAGAGCATTGCTTAGGAGAACATGGAGATTCACGTTAAAGGTTGAATAGAACCTGCACAGATGAAACAAAACATTTTTTAGAACTTATACATGAAGCATAATCTCTTTTTCAAAACTTATACATTCACAAAGGTAAAACATACCGGGTATAAGTATAACTCAAAATGTTGCAGGTGGAGGCCTTACAGCGGTAAAGTAAGATGCAAGATCAATATCCAGGTGATCGTACATACTGATGAATGGGTGCCTCTGTATATAGCCATTATGCGTTAAGAAGATTTCAGATTAATAGAACTTTTTTGAGAACAAAGGTAAAGTAATACTAATACCATTAATTCATTTGCTGACAGTCTCTTTTTTGGGTCCTTCTGCACACTGAAACAAGAAAAATGCATGAGAATGTGTGCAACCAAGATAAACATGTTAAAGAAAGAGTTCGAGGTATAAGAAAACCGCGTGGCAAACTTTTATACCCGTGGATATTTAAAAGCTTATTACGTACCATTTAGAGATGAAAGAACAGAACTCCGGAGAGAATTGATCTGGAGGTGCGCAAGGCTCTGGTTGATCAACTATGGTTTCCATAAGCTCGTAAACATTATCCCATCCTTCCTCCGGTCGTGGTGGGGTATATGGGAAATCACCCGTTGCACACTCGAGCAGAACTAAACCCAAGCTCCAGATATCACTTCTATACCCGTGGCTGCCTCCTTCGATTCTCTCTGGCTGCAGCAAAACATCAGCAACTTAAAATAATACTCTGTAATGAATATAAGTGTTGAAACTTGAAAAAATTTATTGAGATGTCCTGAGTAGGCCCTAATTATAGGAAGCGCCCCATATTGGTTTTTCCATATGAGAGGGGGTTTTGAACACCCGACCTCTCTTAATGGATGAAAGTGCACGACCACTCACGTCAACCAAGCTGGTTATGTTTCATCCAAAAAATATACTAGCGAAAGGAAAATGTTTTACTACATTATATATGCTCCAACCAATACTCGACTATACTCACAGACATATAATTGTAGGTGCCAACAAAGGTATTGGCAGCTCCAGATGTGCTTGCTAGTACTACACTAACACCGAAATCAGTTATCTTGACATCACCTCTATGATTTATTAGCAAATTCGAAGGCTTCAAGTCTCTGTGAATGATATGTTTTTCATGATGGAGATACCACAAGCCCTTGAGTACCTGGTTGCGATGGGCAAAACGTTAGTACTCTCGACTATATCATCTATTGATGAAAGAAAGCTATGAACAGTTCACTTCCTACCTGCTTGCAGATAGCAGCAAGATATGGTTCCGGAATTCTTTTGACTATTTTCAAGAAATCCTGAAGAGACCCGCCATCCATGTACTCCAAGATTATGGAGATGGCACCGTTATCAAAAAACGCTTCGTAACATATTACAACATAAGGGCATTGCGATGATTGGTTAATTCTCAGTTCCTGTGCTATATGCCTGCGAATAGACTCTTCAATATTCATTTGAATAACCTGAATGTTCAACCGTGTCAAAATTTCTCCTCACATGAAACCAAAAAGAACACATAAATGAAGATTTAAGCTTCATCTAGATCTCCTCCCATTGGAAATACTATGCAGGAAATGTCATAACGATGCACAAATATCATATAAGGTACCTTGAGAGCGAAAAATTGGGCTGTCCACTTATGTTGAACAAGCCGCACAACACCGCCATTTCCCTTTCCAATAACTTTAACATATTCAAAGTCTGCTAGGCTTAACTGATTATCGGTTGGCTTTATAACTGTAGACTGAATAAAAGAATCGAAAATGCAAGAATTAATTTCTGATACTACAATGCAAGATGAGTAGCATCTGAAATACTAGATTACAAGTCAATTTGACAGGTTTAGCTTCAACCAGAGATCAAAATGGAAACTTTGCATCAGAAAACACCAAATTTCACATCACCCTAAGTTTTCACAAAACCAAATACAGAATTCATACTTTATTGAGGATAATTCACCCAAGCCAATTCAATCTGAAATGATAATGGAGAAAAATGCAATCTTGAAAGTGAAAAATAGGCATACAGTTTCAACATGTTTATCTGAAATAATCCGAATTCCATCTTTGTTCACCAGCAGATCTCCATCCTTGAATGTTCCTGATTGTGTCCTACACAACACGAAATCCAAAAAATCCCCATCAAAGATACACAAACAAGAACAAACATATACACATAAAAACACACAAGTGCACATAGAGAGAAGAGAGAGATAGGAAAAAAAAGTACAGGAATTTGGATAGAGCAACTTCATCAGGAGGAGGGAGAGAGAGTTTGAGCTTAGGGGCCAAAGCTCCTTTATTCATTGCAATTCTCTCTTGCAAAGCTTAGAAGTATTCTCCAATTCTACTTCTTTTTCTGGGGGTTTTTGATGAAAAATTGCAGCAGAAGTGTGTGTGAGACTGTGTGGGTCTTCCACGGAAAGAGTCGTCGCACGAGTCTTGGCAAAGAGAAGTATGGGGCCGAGCTTTCAGATAGCCATATACACACTCCGTAGAATACAAGTATAGTATAATACTGGTATTCAGCACACTATTATTACATCATACAGCTTGTCACACTCTGGTTGAGTCTCAAGTTTTCTAAAAAATTGAAAAATGTTTTCGGTTTTCAAAATGAAAAACTGTGATAGTAAATATGTTTTTTGTTTTTTATTCTTTAAATTCTTCAATTTTTCAGAAATTAAGAAAAAATTTCTGTTAGAAATGAATTGTGTCTAAACATTTAATAAAAGAAGCTCATTTTAGCCCATTTTGCTCCATCTTCTCTCTACATTTTCATACATGTTCATGCATGTTTTATACACAAATAGATTTCATATACACAATAGAATACACATAAAATACACGGATCAATTAACCGTTTTAAAATTGGATTAGTAAATGCATCTCGAATGAGATATTGAGAATTTTAAAACAAATAGTTAAAATTGGTTGAAAGGTATATCATCCATGCATTTGACTTGGCTTTTAAAATTATTAAAAAGGTTAACAAAAAATAATAACTCCAGAGTATTAAGATAGCTACATGTATGCATTAAGAAATCAAGAAATATAAATAAACAATTCAACTAATGTTTTATGGATTTTTATATAATTAAGCAGGTAAAATGATGCCAAAGAGCTTGTAAATGAATGATATTTTTGTGACACTCTCAAATGGAAAGTTACAAGTTCAGATTCTAATAATTAAAAAAAAAAACAGATATAATTGATAAACAAGACTTATTCCAATGTTAGAGGACACTACTGTTATCCTATGTCCAAACATAAATAATTTGCAGACAACTTTAAGGCTTTTACCAAGTCAGGAGTCTCAAGAATACTAAGGATTTCAAATTTGACTATTTGTGAGAGTCGTGTATTAATTTTTTATTTGATTATTTATGAGAGTTACATATTAATTTTTTTGATGGAATAATATTCTACTGTTTATCAATAGCAATATAATAATAATAGTCAAATATTAGATGAGAAATCTAGGGTTGTTATACATATGAGGATCTCTTATATAAAAGAGTCTGGAAATAAGATAAATGGAAACAAATTAAAGAGCAAGTTTTCTCACGTACAATATTTCATTCTCCTTTTTACTCCATGGTCATGGATACTTCTATACATAGTGAATTGATTTGTACTGTTTTGATTTTCATGTTATATCTTTGTGTTGTATTGTTCATTCCCGAATCACTCTCTACAAACACTTTATATTGTATCATTCAATATTATCTATGGAGAAATCAATTTTCTCCATTAATAATGCTCTTGTTAATTACATTAGGAGTTGATTAAACATTCAAGTTTAATTTAATTTGCTTCCATTCCATATCCCACCATAGCAAAATAAATTATTCTTACAAATTAAACATCATTTCATTTCTATCTATCACCAATACTTCCATCAACTTTCATCCATATATAATTTATACTAATTCATTCATGCTCTCTTAAAGCATGGGGGTATTTGCTTCTTCCATTGTTTAATTTACTCCAAATGCATGTGCGATGATACGAGTATATCCACAATAGAAGAAGGTAAAAATCAAGAATTGGGAGAAAGAAAAGAAACAATCCATGCTACTAGACCAAAGAGAAAACGAAGGAAACCGGCATGGATGGATGATTACAATTGTTAGACTAAATTTATTCGTAATAGGATACATTAGTTTAGTCCTAATACATTATTATATCATATTAATTAGGAATCATAGTCCTAAGCATAATAGGAGTAACTTAGTATATAATCACCCTGCATGCTAGGGGGAAAGACATGCGAATTATTATTATCTTTTTCTTCTCTGCTATCATCTTCCTTCTCTGAAATCTCTCTCCCTCTGATTTTCCCATCCCCTAATTCCAACTCTGGAGTTTGCACCCACTCAAAGCGGTGCCGCCGGCTTGATACGAGTTCGTATCAATTGGTGCTTTCATTGCATCGAACTCATCTTTCTTGTTCTTTTACACACTCAAAATTGTAATCCTACTTCATTATGTCAGAAAACCAATTTACATCAACAACTCATCCTTGGGAGCAGGCAATTGCCGAATTTCAAGAAAATTTTGATAGACAAACTGTTACAAATCACCAACTCATTCAACAACTCATTACCTCCGTGTCACGGTTGGAAACGATGGTAACAACAAATAAAAATGCAGCAGTGCAACCTCAAACACATGGAATTTTGGGACCTCCACCTGATAATCATCTACAACCATCTTTGCAACTGGAAAGTAGCCAAGGGACTCAACGATTTCATATGAAACTTGAGTTACCTCGCTTTGATGGCTCAGATACTCATGGTTGGATATTTAGAATTCAAGAATATTTTGATTTTTATGATACACCCGACACACAGCGATTGCGAATATCAGGATTCACAATGGAAGGGAATGCTTCTGGGTGGTATCAATGGATGAAAAGGAATGGAATGTTAACTACATGGAAGGAATTTTTACAAAATATCACAAAGCGGTTCAGCGAGTCTCGTTTTGAGGATTCCCAAGGAAAATTGTCAAAATTGACACAGCAAACCACATAAGATCCAATCTTAGAAGAAGAAACCATAATGCATGGGCAAGATGACATAATCGCAGGAGATATTTCCAGCCTAAACTCATTGGCAGGCCCGGGTAATCCCAGATCACTTAAACTTTTGGGAGAAGTTAATGGCCGAAAGTTACAGATTTTAATAGATAGTGGCAGCACCCATAACTTTGTGCAACCCAAAATTACTGAGCAATTACAGTTACATACTTTGAAGGTCACACTAAGTGGCACAACACTAAAGAGAAGCACATCATACCATCCACAGACTGACGGGCATACAGAAGTAATGAATCGAGGCTTAGAGCAATACTTAAGGGCTTTTACTCACATCAAACCAACCAATTGGACGTCATACTTGGGATGGGCAGAATTTTGCGCCAATACAAGCTACCACAACAGCATTAAAATGACTCCATTTCAAGCACTATATACAAGACCACCACCCACCTTAGCACCGCATACAAAAGACACACCAACAGTGCAAGCACTAGATAAATTATTGTTGGATCGTGACAGATTGATAAGGCCACTGAAAAACAATCTTCGGGAAGCTCAGCATCGCATGGCCCAAAAAGCCAATGCCAAAAGAAACAAAAAGAAATTTTTAGTAGGAGATAAGGACTGGCTTCGCCTACAACCATATAGACATATATCAGTAGCACGTAGAAGCTCTAACAAACTAGCACGACGCTATTATGGTCCATTCAACATCTTGGAAAAAAATATGCGAAGTTGCATACCGCCTCGAGCTACTACCACAAGCAAGAATTCATTCAGTATTCTATGTCTCACAACTCAAGAAACACATAGGAACTGAAGAAAATATAGAGGTCCAATTACCAGAAGAAATTGTGGGCCGATCACCAATTTCAACTCTACTAGCACTTTGTGGGGAACGGAATGTTCTAAAAAATGGAAAAATACAACGCCAAGTCTTAGTGCAATGGTCAGATAGTAGTCCAGAAACTGCCACTTGGGAAGCGGCCGAGGAAATTGAACGATGGTACCCGAATCTCCACCTTGAGGACAAGGTGGTCGTCGAAGGGAAGGGGAGTGATACGAGTATATCCACAGTAGAAGAAGGTGAAAATCAAGAATTGGGAGAAAGAAAATAAACAACCCATGCTACTAGGCCAAAGAGAAAACGAAGGAAACCGGCATGGATGGATGATTACAATTGTTAGACTAAGTTTATTCGTAATAGGATACATTAGTTTAGTCCTAATACATTATTATATCATATTAATTAGGAATCATATTCCTAAGCATAATAGGAGTAACTTAGTATATAATCACCCTGCATGCTAGGGGGAAAGACATGCAAATTATTATTATCTTTTTCTTCTCTGCTATCATCTTCCTTCTCTGCAATCTCTCTCCCTCTCTCTCTCCCTCTGATTTTCCCCTCCCCTAATTCCAACTCTGGAGTCTGCACCCACTCAAAGCGGTGCCGACTTGATATGAGTTCGTATCATGCGATCCGATCATGCTCACCTATTTTTCCTGTAAATTAAAATATATGCACAACCACTACTGAGGGTGTGCACAGGGTAAACCCTAACTGACAAAGGACCACAAGAAGGTAAATCAACTTAGATTGTTCATAGCTGACCGGCTCAAACTAAAAAAATCAATAAACTACTTCGATTGGGAGTCAAACTCGTAACCTTGTGATTATCAACGACGTTAGTAAAATTCTAATTCTATGAATCATTGTGTCATGCAGGTGGAACGTAAATGTGAGATTGGAGAGAAAGCATTTAGATGGCAAGAACGGGATGTGATGAGCCACATAATTGAGATAGTGATGACATACAATTAATCCCTATTGCTTACCAAAATTTGTGTTCATTATATTTTTGCATTCATGTGACCACTAACCTATCTGCAAAATTATTCTCAAAATTAATTTATTTGTTTTATCACTTGGATATATACCAAATGAAGGTGATTTCGAGCTGCATCAACTATTCAAGTTCCTCCTTGGAGGTTCTGTTGAGCATATATATAATATATAAACATAAATGTGGAATCTAATTATTCATTTTTACACAAATTTTCAAGTCTACATAAAATAAATCATCTTTAAACCTTCTATCCAAATACATTACACACACACACACACTAGAGATGAAATGCTAAGGACCTCTTAGGTAAAAAAATATGGTGAAATCTCAGTCATTGATCTAGTCAAAATCAACAGCCTAGAATGAAGAAAAATTTTAAAAAACGCAGTGGCATTATGACAAATTTTTGTAAGTTTATACACACACATTATGCTATAAGAGTTGTACAATACAATATTTTGCATTAAATTACCGTCATTGTGTTTAGGCTATAAGGGTTATGGCATTGATGATGGAATAGTGTATTTCT